GGCCCAGCTTGGCCACCACCTGGTTGTTCTCGAGCTCGTTGTTGTCGAAGTTGGCCGCGTCGTGGCTGCTGGGCGGCAGGCAGGCGCTGAAGCGGGCCTGGCTGAGGCGCGCGGGCGGCAGCGTGTCGGCGAAGGCGCTCTCTGCGCGGGGACAGAGGGGCGGTGAGCGCGCCCCCCCCCCCCCCCCGGCCTTGACCGCCGCGCGCCCGGTACCCCGCCTCGCCCCTTCGCCTGCTGTCCCTGCTTCACTTGGGAGCTTAGTTAAGAAGCACAGCTGCCCAGGATCGGATGAGCATCATCCTGAGTCTACCTGACATACTCTGATCTCCGGGGTGGGCAGATAGGGCCCTCCCTCCCCTTCCCTGCCTCCTCCTCTCCCTCCCTCCCTCCTTCCTTTGTCTTCCCTCCTCCCGTCCCTCCCGCAGAGGTTTTCATCCTTTGAAGATGTAAAGGGCATTTGAAAATCCTTTATTGTCTGCCTCCCCGACTAGAACCTAAGCGCCAAGGAAAAGCGCAGACCCTGTATATGTGGCCTTATTATGTGACAGGTATTGTTGGAAGCTCCTTTCACATGTCACCTCATGTAGTCCTCAGACAACTTGGGAGGTGTGTCCTGTTTCTACCCGTCGTTTAGCAAGGAAGGGAGCTGAGGCACGAAGGGGTTAGGGAACATGACCAGGGTTACACAGCAGCTCAGTGGCAAAGCCACGGCTCGAACCTCGGCTGTCTGGCCCCCGAGCGCGGGCTGTTCCACACGCGCTGACTCTGAAAGGAGGCCCGGCCCGGCCCGCGCTCGCGGCTGTGTCGGCAGCACGGAGCCCGCTGCCTGGGTGTCACTCACAGTGAAGGTGTGAGGTTCCTATAAGCGATGGACTCCCTTTACAGAACAGGAAACTAAGAGGGAGTTTTAAAAAAGTCACAGTCATGAAAATATTTTGGTATAATTTTTAGTAATATGAAAAATGTTCTTGATACTATATATTATAGTTAAGCAAAAAAGCAAAATAAAAGTAGTGTTTATCATTCAGGTAATCCTGGTCTTCATCTTTTGCTAGATTACTTGTTGACCGTCTCCCCAGCTAGAATATGAGTCACTGGAGGGCAGGGTCTGTGCAGTCTATTCACCACCGTGTTCTCAGGGCTTAGCAGAGTGCTTGGCAAATAGCCTTCATTATTATGTAGTTTATTGGATGAATAAATGAATGAATGAGGTCTCTAGAAGAAGCTGACTGCCACTCTGAATAACAAATCAGGGAAAGAAAGAAACAGTCATTAAAGTATTTTGAAGTTTTTTTAGTGATAAAAATATTCTTGTTAACCATAACAAGTAAACAAAGTAAGAAAAAGTGTTTCTCAGACTTTTTTAAACCAGAGCCCTCTAGCTAAGATTTTGTTAAATGTTACCATTCTGTAATTTCTATCATGGAAAAAAATATTTTTCTCTTTAGTTTTCCAAGTATAAAATTAAGTCATAATAATAAACATGCATTTTCAAAAAGCATGCCCTAGCCCCTGGTGAGAGTCTGATATGGTACTCCGCCCCCCCCCCCCCCCCCCCCCCCCCCCCCATATAGGGCAGATTTTGTAGACTGGCCATCCAGGTTCTGGCCCTGCCTCACAGACCTGTTTGGTTGGCCTACTGGTGTTTTTTCTTTTTTCTTTTCTTTTTTTTTTTTTTTTTAACTTTTTGAAATATAAACATATACAAATAGTATAAGGAATGCTTATTACCCAGATTCAACAATTATCAATTCATGGCCAATCTTGTTTGACTGACACCCCCACCAACTCTCACTTGTATATTATTTTGAAGCAAATCCTAGACATGGTATTTCATCTGAAAAATTTGAGTATGTCTAAAAATTAAAGACTTCTTATATTGTGTCTGAGAATATGCGTTTTTCCCAGTTTGTTTGAATGAAGATCCAAATAAAGTTCACTCATTGTCATTGGTCTCTCTTAAGCTATAGTTTGCCTCTTCATCTCTTTTTTTCCATTTGTTTGTTGAATAAATCACCACTTGGTCTTTTAATTTTTTTTTGAATTAGTAGCCAATACTTCTGAATCATGAGATTTCACTGAAACTAGATTACAGCCTCTCAGAACATCAGGAGGTCTGATAATACAGGCCTGAATTCCGGCATGGCAACAGGGCTGCCTGCCCCTTTGTTGATGTTTGCTCTCTTTCCCCATGGCCCTGGGCGGGCCCCCTGCACCCACCTCAGCTACTTGCTTGGGATCTGTGGGCATCTGAGTGTGTAGGCCTTGCCTTAGAGGATGCTTCCCCATAACCTGAGGGGAGAAGTGCGATTTCAGTTTGGTCTTTTAAAAAGTATGTATGTGCGCATGTTATCTATATCTGTCTAAGGTACTTTGTTTATGTGCGTAGAAAGTCAGGTTTTGGAAAGAAATGTAACAAATGTTAATGGTCATTATCTCTCAGGTGGGTGAAATTATGAGGGACTTTTCTTCAGATTTTTCAGTGTTATCCAACATTTCTACAGTAAACATAGCTACTACAAAGTTTTATCATCAGAAAACACCCCAATATTTTAAAAAATCAAGTTTTCAATTAATCTTTAACACTGTGGGAAAACTCCCATGATATAACATTAAGTGAACAAAAGAGGACACAAAACTGAATACATGATTTATCAGATTCTAATTGTGTGGGAAATGTATGTATAGGATGCATAGGAAAAATACAGCAAGGAAATACATAAAAATTTGAGGATGGTTTCTCTGAATGGAAATTTGCTTTATAGTTTTCGGATTTTCTCATTTTGGTCTAATGAACATGTACTGATTTTGTAATCAGAAAAAAAAAAGCATGTATAAAAGTAGACCCAAGACAGTTTTTTGAAAAGGCATTTTAGGCAAGGAGATGTTTCCGGTGTAGCATCTACTTCTGGTGGAGCCTCGGTGTAATGCACTTTCCCAGGCCTCTCTGCCCCACCGTCCTGTTAGGCCACGCTTAAAGGCATTGGCCGTGGCTCGCCCTGGGCCTCTGCTCTTGCCAACACACTGCTTCTGTTCCCCACCCCCAAAGCGCCTCCTTCTTGCCCCTAACAACTGCACACACGAGCCCATCCTTCAGTGCAGCATCCTAATTAAGAGCATGGCCTATGGAGATGGGTAGATTTAGGTCCAAGTCCTGGTGTCAGCCCTTCCTGGCTGTGTTACTTGAAATCATTTCACCTCTCCAGACCTCAGCTTCCTGAGCTTAAAATGGAACAGTGCTAGGACCCCCCTCCCCCCATGTTGTTAGGGAGATTAAATTAGATGCTTTATAAAGACTGTAGCACAGAACATGGCACAAAGTGCTAATTATTATCATCATTCCTTCATTTATTGAACAAAATGTATAGACACTCGCCACATACCAAGTGCTACGCTGGGCACTGGGTGAAGAGAGGTGCACGAGCAGGCATGTCTCCTGTGTCCACGAGTTCCCATTCCAATGGGAGAGATACTTTAATGAGGCACCTGACAGAAAACTGTGTAAGTACAGACTGTGATGAGTGCCACCAAGAGCCACAGGGGTCTGTGAAATGGGCACATTTCAGTGGGGGAACTCAGATTCCGAGAGGCCAACTGAGTTACTTCAAGTCACACAGCCAGGGAGTGACAGAACCGGGCCTCTCTAAGAGTGTGTAAAAGGGGGACTTGGTCAGAAGTGTGGCCTGAGAGTGGGTCAGACCAGGCCTCTCTGAGAGTGACCAGGGAGCTAAGACCTGAAGGCCAAGGGAGTGGCGGCTGGGAAGTGGGCTGTAAGCACTCCAGGCAGAAGGAATAGACGGTGTGAAGGAACAGCATTTCTCAGGTGAAAGCTTGGTGTGTTTGTGAGGCTGACGTTACAACGCGTGTGACAGCACTTAGCCTGGTACCTGGCACACAGCAGCCCCTCAGAAAAGGCTGGGTTCTCACTTTATGTCTATACAAGGAGCTCTGTGCCCCTCAGGCATTGTCCCTGAGTGAGACAGGCCCAAGATGGGCTTGGCCTGGGCCTGACATTTGAGAATCTACCTCTCAAAAGACTCTTGTGGAGAACCAGCTGGCTACAGGCAGAAATCCCACATCAAGAGGCCACCAAGGGAGCTTATCAAGACTTCCCAGCTTCTAACCTGTGACTCGCCTCCAAACCCAGCCTCTGGACCTGATGAAAGTATACACAGCCATCTTCTTGAGCACCTACCAGATGCAACTCCAAGCATTCATTATGCCCATCAATCCTCCCCACTATCCCATGCAGCTCTGTAAAATGGGCACATTTCACAGTGGGAGACCACTGAGGCTCTGAGAGGTGGGGTGAGTTATTCAAGGTCACACAGCCAGGGGTGACAGAAATGGGATTCCATCGCAGGCTACGAGACTCCAAAGCCAGGCCCCTTGACCAGTGGCAATAGTGCCTCCTAAATGCAGCTGTCCTTGTTCAGCTCTTAGAGCTGCCCAGCATGTGTACTCAGCCTCAGGCCAAGGGGTTCTTGGAGTCGCAGTCCCCAGGGGCCTAATAGGACCCCCGAGAGGACAGGTCCCCCTGAACATCCACTGAGCACTATCACACAGCAGCAGTCCCAGGCCAGGCACAGGGAGGCTGGGATGGGCTCCCTGACCCCCCACTCTCCCTGGGCCACCTCCAGGGCCTGGCTCTGGAACTTGGAGGGAGCTGGGTTCTTCCCTTCTGTAGCTCTCTCAGGCCAAATATGTCTGGGGCTGGAAGTAAATCAGAATTTATATCCCAAGAGAAACCATCTTTGTGTGAAGATGAAAATGAAGGCTGGAGGAACTGGAGACAGAGGGGACCATCCATCAGTCACTTCATTGTCTCTGAAGGACTGATTGGGACATGCACTGGAGGCAGAAGTGGCAGGATGTGCTGACAGAATGGATGCAGGGCAAGGAAAAGAGGAATCAAGGATGACTCCTGAGGTGTGGGACCTATCCACCAAGTGGGTCGCTGACAGTGGGGACAGCTGTCTGAGCGTGTTCAGTGTGAGATGCCTCTCGGATGCCAGGAGGAGATGTGAGTGGGCAGAGGGAAGTCTGGAGTTCAGGGGAGGCGTCAGGTCTGGGAATATGGATTTGGGAGCCAACAGCCTAGAGATGAGGCTCAAGGCCCAGCGACAGGCTCGGATCATCTG